ATGGTTAGCAACCAATGAGAATGAACCTTTCTTTAGGAAAATAATAAAATCAAAAGGCTTCCTGCTTGAGGATTTAAATTGCTGAACACAGTTTGGGGCTCAGCAATTATACTAGAGCAACCTTCATCTGTTTTTGTATAAAGATTCAGATATTCTTGATTTACAAAAATCTGGCTCTGAAGAGGAGTCGTTCAGACAGGGTGACATTTTACATGTCTATTGGCTTCCTGGAGAGGGTAGTAGACTAACAGGTAAAACAACTGGCTTCTAATCCCAGCCTGCCACTGCCCTGCTGTGTGACTCAGACGCAGAGAGAGATATGAAGTAACATTCAAGTTTCCTTCTCATCCTTTGTCTGTCTGGTCTATTTAGATATACAGAACCGGCACAGTCTCTCTGTATGTGTATATACAGTGCCTAGCCAGTCAGTTGGTTGAAGACAGCAGGACATTACTGTAATACAAATAAATTCTAATTTTTTGCAGCTTTGGCAATAATTTGTTAATTTTGAATAACTTTTCTTACTCTGAATTATTCTATTGTTCAGTAAGCAGGTCTCTGTGGACTACCCATACTATTCAGAAATGCCAGCTTTTTTGTTTTATATGTTCTTATCCTGGATGACAAGAAATAACTGATGTACCTGACCAGCACTTACTGCAAATAGATATTTCGAATTTATTAAATATTCTACATTTTTCTCACCTTGGTGGCAATGTGGGACCCTGGACTCGCTGTCATTTAGCAGAAATGGCCCCAAACAGTAAAGTTTGGCTCTGGACTCAGATTTTCCTCAAGGATCACAGATGATGGGACACAGAGAATTTTAGTTTAGGCCCCATTTCATGCACATCCTTCCCACTATCTCCAATGATGCTGGCAGTTACAAACTGACCATATTATAAAACGGAGTGAAGGGAAGTTATTATCTGATGGATTTACTAACTGTAAATAAAGTCAAGTGGCTAAATTACAAAGATGCGGTAGAGCAGCCCTGGTTTGTATTGGAGGAGGAAGTAAGTTCTGAAGTTTGCCACTAGAGTGTGCACCAGCTTTTGAAGTGTGTGCTCAGACCCTGCTCTTTGAACAATGGATTTAAAAAATGCTTTAGAAATTACATTGTGCAGCTTTTAACTTTACTTTTTCATTTTAAGTTTGACAGTTTTTTTTTGTTTGTTTTAGGTCAGAGGACATCCCTCCCCACCTAGAACTAGTTTCCACATTACCCATACCAATAGGGGACGGGCAATTTACAATCCACACTTGATGGTTTTAGACTGGACTCCTGTTATTGACAATGACTTTCCTTTGTAATGTTTGAACATCTGCAAATGATTGGACAGAGCCCTAGCTGGATCAAGTGTTGATCCAGAATATCCTGGATAATGCAGCAATCAGACCCCCTCCTTTTTTTTTCTTTTACTCCTTCTCTAACACTGTGATTGTGACCATTTCACCCATTCCATTGAGATAAGAATCTTGTAATCCTCAAACTGACTTGAAGAGCTGAGCAGGAAAGCAGCTTTCTACTATAATTGCCTGAAAGTTAGCCAGCCCTGGATCTTGTTTGCATTCAGTGCTGCTGAACTGCTATACCTATTTTAATACTTATGCCGCAACTACTACGTAAATGAGCAAGTGTCCTGCTACTTACAGCACATCACTCCCAACCACTGATTTCTATGTAAGGGTGGAGAGTGGTATCTTCTGGCACTCTGTTATAGTAGATTGTTCTTTCATCCATTAGCTCACATCCTGTTTCAGAAACCTTTCTAGTCAGTCATTCTGAGGGCTCCTTGTAGCAACCTGGATAATAGCAGTTGAGTCGGTAGCAGCTTGAGATATATAGGCACACTGACTGATATGTTGCCACCTGCATTCTGTATGGTATGTTGAATTTTTAGTCATTTTTAAACATGCTGATCAACATGCTTTTAAGTTCTAGTAGAGATAGGACACAGGTTTACAGCTGCAGCTAAGGTTAAACATGACTGGGAAAAATGGTGGGTCCAAGAACAAACCTTTATGTAGTGTATACAGTATTACTCACAATCATGTTAGCATGTATAAAATCACAACTAAAAATTCAAGTGCAGATATACACTATGAGTTAAGTTCACCCCTATGCAGAGAGCTCATACACAGCTTATGCCTTATTTTGGGGACTTAGATTGTAAAGTTGCAACTTCAAGTTGCAGTGGGGGAGGTTTAGGTTGGATATTAGGAAAAACCTTTTCACTAGGAGCGGGGTGAAGCACTGGAATGCGTTACCTAGGGAGGTGGTGGAATCTCCTTCCTTAGAAGTTTTTAATGTCAGGCTTGACAAAGCCCTGGCTGGGATGATTTAGTTGGGGATTGGTCCTGCTTTGAGAAGGGGGTTGGACTAGATGACCTTCTGAGGTCCCTTCCAACCCTGATATTCTATGATTCTATGATTTAAACAGTTTAGGTCAAGGATCATCTTTTTATGTTAGTTCAGAACATAAAAATGAGGCCTCAATACAGGGGTCCCTAGGAGATACTGTAATACAAATAATATACTCAGTTGCCCTTCAACCTGTCCATTTTTGGATGGCCAATTTGCTGCAGTGTTGAAGTGGGTGTTGAAGAGAGATTTGAAGGAGGAAAGGATAGAAACTTACAGATCTGTTCAGGATGGATATTCCATACATAAGACGTCTATTTGAATGTGTGAAATAAATCAAAGCGTATTTAAAAATTGATGTTAAGGCAACGTTATACTTGAGATTTTAACAATATAAATTTATTCCAAGCTATGCTTTCTACATCCTCCCAAAACTTGGCCAGATGACACATCAGGCTGGAGTGAGGGTGGAATTCTGCCTTCATTTACACTCAGGAAACCTCAGGATTGCCTGGGTATCACTAAGGGCAAAATTTGGCCATAAGGCATTAAAATTAACACCATATATAGTTATTAAAAATCCTAGATGTGTGCTGTCTGGCTGAGATATGTGGAACTCTGAAGCTACTAAGCTGTATGTATGTAAAATCTCAACCATATTGCAACACTAACAATTTCTTGCATTTTGTAAGCAGTACATTTAAATAGATTCTGTAGTAATAATCAAATCCTACTTTCTACATTTTAAAATTTAATTAAATATTCTGTAAGTTTACCAACGATATAATTTGTTTAATGGCTCATTGAGCTTAGAGGTTTTATAGTCCAAGCTTCCTCAATAACATTGTTATCAGAATAAAGACTTCTAGAAATAAAAAACATAGAAAACATGCTGAAATGGCATCTGTGCAATAGGCAGTGTATCTGTGTTTAAAGTGATTTGTGTCGGGCGGTCTCTGGTTACATAATAGGAAAAAGAAAAGCTGGGTAATGAAAAAAAACATTTTGCAGGCAATTTATCATATGCTTCAGAAGATCTTTAGTGTTTTGTTTTTTTAAAGTTGATTCCCCAAGTAGGACACAATCCGATTCTCTGTTGTCCCCCTGCACCTTGTTGTAGTCCTTTACGCTAATGCCAAGTGAGTGTAAGATGCTACAAAATCAGAGCGGTAGCAATTTACTCCCACTTTGCACTGGTACAAATTACTACAACAAAATGCAGGGCAATGGTGAATCTGGTCCATAGTAGTTGGAAATCGTGAAGACCTATTCAGGCCAGCTAAAAGTGCAGTTATAGTTGCACAAGAGACCATATCAGATACTAAACTGATGCTACACTTGGTCTTAAGCAAGATGTCAAGAGAAGCTGTGTCCCACAATAATGTTATTTACACTGCCTTATAAATTGAGCTATTTAATTGGAATTGCTTTCTGCTATCTTCCATGTCTACAAGGAAAATGTGTGGTAGAAATATATCTTGGTTACATAACGGTCTAGAAGAAATATTAAACATGGGAAAAGGAGATCAGGTAGGGAAGACTGTGCATATAATAAATTATACTGAAAAACAGTATTATCTTGGGTTTCACTGAACAACATCTTGGACCAGATCCTCATCTGCCGTAAACTACGCTGACTTCAATTGAGTAATGACAATATACTCAAGTTGAGGATCTGCTCCATAGTCTTTATATTACATCTAAAATTATAGCAATATGTTGTGCTTATCAAAAAGAGATATAAACTACCAATAGTTTTATCTCACTGTGCTAAAATAGTTGCCAAAAAAACCCTAGGTGGCTCTTAAATAAGTGTTAGCAATGATATCTTATAACTAGTTTAACCGAATGCCTGTTCTTCTTGGACTAGTTGGGATCAGATTCCGCTGTGGAACACTGACCTTAACCACAGAAGTCCTATATAGAGTTAATTTTTTAAAACTTTCGGGAGCCTGGCTATCCATTGCATCAACATACCAATACCTTATGGGAGAAATAGCAGCATTCTAGAATAATGGGCCAAAACACTTAGCCATACAGCTGTTATTGTGCTGACAAAGTTTTCAAAAGTGATCAGTAATTATAGATACTTCAGTATTTGGCTGCCCAACTTGGACACCTCAAAGAGGTCTGATTTTCAGAGGTGAACACTTAAAACTTTCTGAAAATCAGGTCCCTTTAGGATGTGCCTCAAGTTGGACATCTCAATAAATAAATAAATCAATCTTACTAGCTACTTTTAAAAATGTAGGCCTGTACTGTTTACAAGCATTGAGATATCACAGTGGGAGGAGTAGTATAAAAACCTGACTAGAAGACGTGGTGTTGAACCATCGTAGCTCAAGACTGCACATTGTCCCACTGCAGTAATTCATGATGATAGGCTACTCCAACTGCTGTAAGAGAATCTTACTCCTGACCATTATTGTGCTTGAGCACAATGTATAGCTCTCTCTATTTGTCGTACTTAGAACTGTTTTACAAATTAACAGAGTATCTGGATTGATTCTCTATCAAATAGGGATAAATTAAGGGATGGTAGCGGTTCTTCTGTTGATCCAGAGACCTCATTTGAAAATACAGGGTTTTAAATACTGAATTAAAAAAATGAAACAATCAACTGTGAGTGCACAAATAGGAGGAACTGAGTTTATTGGCTTGGGAGGGTGGGATATACACACTAGAAGATGCTGAAAGCAAATCTGCATTCAGGATTTAACTTTTATGATAAATGCTACTTATACAGACATTCTCTGGAACCCTTAGCCATGTTATGAGAGTTGATAATATCATGTTTCTCCCGCAATCACTGAAGAATTTATAATAACAACCATCAATACAAGTCAGCTCAAACGTGTCACTTCTGAAAAAAGGAATCCATCTGAGTAAATGTGATTATGGATACGACAGTTAAGAATAACTGAATAGTAACAGACCTGCAGAGATGAAGCTGGCTATAGATCAGCACAAAATCCCAATAGTGACAGGCAAGGATTATTGTTCCAGACCGTGTAGATAGTGTAGTAATTCTGCTATATGTTCATAATTAGAGATTTTATTACATTTCATTCATAAGAGGAACATTTACATATTCACGAGTATGTACAATTTTAAAAATCAGCCTTTCATAAAAAAATTGGTAGATGAAAACAAACTATCCTAACTTGAGACACTGAGTGTTAAAGCTATCACCCTCTTTGACAGCTACAGCCTCAAGCAGCACTTGCTTCTTCTGCATACTGCGGGATGACTCCAATTCATACATAGTTGTCAAATTGAAAAGAACACTCTCATGTAGGTAGTGTTTAGGGTCCTGCTGAACCATTCCTTCCAACTGCCGGAGGGAATCCTTCAATTTTCCCAGATAAAGCAAACAAACAGCCGCATTGTTATTAGCCTAGAGAAAAAGATTATAATATATATATTGAGTCTGGAGTCAAACCAAATTTAATAAGTCTTTACTTTTTTTTTTTTTTTTTTTGCAAATATTTGCAATTGTTGAAATGTATTATTTATCCTACAATTCAATTCTTTTATCCTTGGCATGGGGAGCTTGGTTACTTTCAGTGTCTATCCCATAAGAAAAACTAGCTGACCTCCAACATCTGAAGTTCTAAAAGATAGAAGAATCCAAGCTGGAATTCAGATTGGTAAAGGGGCTCAACAGATAATGTTAAAAGCGAGCTGAAAGTGGTTTCAGATACCACATTTGTCCTTGAATCCTCCTGCCAATTATTCTAGTTTTACACTTGCATATTCCTATTTTTAAAAATGTCCTTCTCTCCCCTGCAGCTACATGAAACACAGATGCAAACAGGGGAAACTGATTTACTGAAACTGACTTTTAAGTCAATGGGTAGATTCACTAACTAGGGCAGTCCAAATAAATCCCAAATGCTCATCAGGTTCCATATCCTGTTCATCAGAGCAGAATTTATTAAGTAACACAAGGTACAAAAGAGATAAAAGTAGTATGAAATACTTAGCAATGGAAATTTTCACACTTTCTGAAAGCTGGGGATAGGGGAAGACACAACCCTCTTTCCTAAGTAGGTCTCCCACAAATGAGGGGAAGTGGTCTCTAGTTATAGCAGGTGGCATTTACAGCCGGCAGTCACAGGACTCCAAGCATGTGCTCCCTGAACTTGGTTCCCTCAGTCTTAAAGGGGCCCGGGAATATGGCACTGGGAATATATGCCCAAGGATCAGCATACCGATACATCCCTATAGTCAGAGGGCTGCTAAATATACAAGTAAACAAGATGAAAAAACTTGACAATTCTTCTGTAATGTCTTTCAGTGATAAGAATTTTAGACTCCGATTTACAGCTGGCTCTATATGGGCAGACCCATGTGCATGCACAGATGCAGTTTCAGGATCAGGAGCCTTTAGTGTTATTTCTAAATACAGTAATTAAAATGGGGTAAAAAAGTGTGATTTTTCAAGTGGATAGTGTCCCTTTAATACTATCCGATGATAAATTATTTCCTCATATGTTTGCAATTACCATTTTGTTTTCCAATATGTACCTCTAACAAAACAAAGCCAACATATAAAAGCCCTCACAGAGCCCCCTTAACATGTAACCCATTACAGTGCATGCAGTAAACAATCATGCTCTTCAGGTAAACTGGTCCTGCCTTCCCCTACTCATCCCTTTGTTTTTATTTGTATCTTATCTTTATGTATAGAGAAAGCCCTTTGGAGCGTGGACCATATCTAATTTTTCTATAGAGCTCCAAGCACCCTTTGGGTGCTATCTATATCTTAGGGATAAGATAAGACAGGAACCACTCAGGTGTCAATTCAATGTAGTACATCCGGAGTCTTACCACAGCATTTGCAGGGTCAATCTTTAAAATTTCTGTGAAGGCTCTGTGAGCGTCTGCAAAGTTATTCTGACCAAGATAGAGAAATGCTCTAGAAAGTAAGTGACACATGAGTCAGTTATCCTGAAAAACCCAAGGTGATAATACAATTCAAATGGAACGGAGACCACTTTTTATTTTCCCTATTATAAATGCGAAGAGTTTTTGACATTTGCTCTTCTCAGTGTAATCGTGAGCCAGCTGCGAGACACAGATTTACAGACAAATGAAGTGACAATTCAGATCACTGACCACTTCAGATATTCTGCCAACAAAGCAATGCTTTTCTATATTTGTTATTAAAATACAGAGAGTCTTCCTAAAATAATTTCTCTGTGAAACTAAAAGTGTTATATCTGTTTCCAGAACACACCTGTAGTATTATTTTACTTGTCAAAATATATTTAGCTAATATGATAAACACCAAAACCTGAGGACTCCATCATGCAATCTGATTTACTAGTGCATATCTTGGCATCCATTTGAAGCTAGCAAGTGCTGGGTCTGCACTAGCAAATCTGATTGCAGGATCAGAATCCAAAAGAGCTTCTTTGTTCCTAAAAGTATATATTGAAAAAATAGGGTAAAATATGCAATGCTTTGAAGAATGAGAAATAACTTTGTAAAATCAACTCTTGTAACTAAAGAGTTTCAAGCCAGGATAAGATGACTACACCAAGTAATACAGATCTCATGGGTGTACATGCCATTCAGTCTCACTTCTGACAGATGTGGTTACATAAAAGAGAGCAAGAAAGAGAAAGAGATACTCTCAAGGGTACTTTAAAACTCACAATGCACATTTTGCAAAATCATATTTTAAAGTTTTATTTAGCTCTTAAATTATCTACCTGTTCATTAAAACCATAATTTGGTGCTGTAGTCCATCCCATTTCTGACTCATTTTCTCAACATCGTGAAAATATTTTTCTGCGGTTTTTATATCTCCAATCTGGATGACAAAAATTACAAGAAAGTTAGGACAATGCATGAGAAAGACCCATTCAAATGAGCTCTTCATGGGACATCCTTCCACAAAGAACCAAAACGTGAAAACATATGAAGTATTAAAGTAACTGGCATCATAATTCTACCTCTCCGATTAGCCATTATTCACTGTGAATGGACTAAAGCCGATATCAAGGCTGACTTTTACAATTCCTCATTAAGCTCATAGAAGTGAATAACAAAAAACACATACAGTGTCCTCTTCCCTAAGGACCTGGTTCTTAAACTGGGCTCAGTGGAACATTAGAATATTACGTAGTGGTGGCTTTGTCTCCTCATTTCTAACAGCTTTGACAGGTGTCCAGGCTCTCCATTGTAAAGAAAACCCTAGGGGTTTGCAAAATTAGCTGGAAATGAGAAGATAGCAGAGCTACCTCCAATAGCTACTACACAAGAGAGGAAACAGGATCACTCCTCAAAGCTAGGAGCCACCAATCATAAGTGAGATGGAGCATGGTAGCCAGGTAGCTTGTGGAAGATCCATTCTTCAGATGGCCACCCCACCTATGACCAGAGGAGATCTAGTTCCCTCCTGAGCAATCACCCCACAGCCAGAGACCAGAGAACAACCCCCGCCATTGCTGCTACGGAGACAAAAATACCAGGTAGAGAAGCCACTTAAAAGAGTCTCAGTTAGGGTACTGGGGAAGGGATAATGTGGTGGATTCAGAATTATTGGGCTAGATGATAAAGGGAGTGCGTGGGTGGAAGGAGTGATGGATTTGGGAACTGTCAGAAAACAGAATTCATAATTCTTTTGGGAGGGTGGTCAAGGTGTAAAGTAAATCAAATGTCACAGTTTTTAAGTTAGGAGTGATTATTTTAGGAAATAAGCTTTTTCTTCTCTTTTAGCAAAAATATGGTAGTTTACAAAACTTATGAACAATTCTTATTTCTTAACTGTATCTCAGCATTCAAGTGTCTGAATAATATGCAATTACTATACATAAACTATTCATTTGTTAAGTGCCCTTACTCCATTAAATAAATGGAAAGTATTTATCTCTTTCGCTTTTCCAGGATATCTGACATACAAGAATCAGTTTAAATTAGTCCTGGAATTTTAACCATTTAAAATTACTTTCCCACCGCCACCGGATTTTATTTAATTAATTTAGGAATTTCAGTCACTTTTTCTGAACTAATGTAACTATTATGATTATGAATGCTTCCAAATTAACACAAAACCCTCTTGTTAGCCTCAAATAATCAAACCCATGGTTAATGTTCCTCCAATGTAATCTGCACTGACTAACCATGGTTTCCGTTAGTCTGAAAAATAGGATTATTTTTCAAAAAATATTTTGGGGGCTATTTTTAAGTCCCCTTTGCTGTAATTTATTGCAGAAACTGGGTTTAAAATAGTCACAGAACAACTTAAAAGCACTGGTTTGTAAATTAAACAGTAATTTCACTTTTCAAGTCCTTTGATGGAGTTATTCAAATAGCAAATAAGGGTTAGCTAGCAAGCAGATTCAGAGTACTTTAGGAGCATAAAATGAAATACTGAAGACCAAACCATCTTCATTGTTTCCTCCTAACCTATGAGGCTGACTTTGTCTCTGATGTGTCCCAAGTGGTTGCTGACAGCTTTACTCACATTACCTCTTAAAGCATCTCTGGGGTAGACTGTGGCCTTTTCTGCTTTTTCCAAATCTCTCCCCTCATTTAGTATTTATATGATGGTAGCTATTGAAGGCCTCATTCAAAATCAGGGACCCACTGGGCTAGGAAGACATGATTCCTGCCCTAAGAAGCTCATAACAAATAAGTGACATTTGGAAGGTGAAGGATATAGGTAACATTAAACATAAAACATCACACACACTATTTTGTATACTTAAAAAGAAAATTAAAAACCGTTCAACTATATCTCACAGCTCCTGAACCAACACATTCTTGTAGGCATTACAGAAGAATTGGGTCTTGTGAGAAATTTGAAGTAAGAGAGAATACAACACGTAGCTTAGCCTTATGCCAATGTTACGTCTCCCAAGACTCCACCCTTGACTTCATATTCATAGAACTTCTTCACTAATCATATAGAATCATAGAATATCAGGGTTGGAAGGGACCTCCGGAGGTCATCTAGTCCAACCCCCTGCTCAAAGCAGGACCAATCCCCAATTTTTGCCCCAGATCCCTAAATGGCCCCCTACAAGGATTGAACTCACAACCCTGGGTTTATCTAGTAATTCACCATTGCATTACTTCACACTTAGGAGTTGAATTCCACTCCCAAAATACCTTTGGTACTTTCATAAATGGGTAAAATCTGGCTCATTGTGCCTCTTCTGGTTGCAAGTCATGGCTAGCAGATCAGTTTGAGACTACTTGGGAATCACTTGGCACCATTTTTCTGAGAAACTGTGAGGCTTGAGTGCTGAAAAGTTCCCTTTGCCTTTCCCCTCAGTTTTTGCAAAAGGTTTTGTCTTCTTCTCATGGAGTTTGCCTGTTCTAGAGTTCAAACATGCTACACAGCTGACACCTACACATGCTGGCTCCCAACTCCTCTTTGCTGCACCTTTCTCTCTCTCTCTCTCTCTCTCCCCCGAGTTTAATTAAAGAAAAGGTAAAAGAATTACCTCTGTAAAATCAGGATGGTAAATATCTTACAGGGTAATCAGATTCAAAACAGAGAATCCCTTTAGGCAAAACCTTAAGTTACCAAAAGACACAAAAACAGGAATATACATTCCCTCCAGCACAGCTTATTTTACCAGCCATTAAACAAAAGGAAATTTAACTCATTTTCTAGCTATATTACTTAGTAACTTAACAGGAGTTGGAAGGCTCCATTCCTGATCTGTTCCTGGCAAAAGCAACACACAGACAGGAGGTTTTTTTTGGTGTAGTGGTCGGGTATACATTTCCGATTTACGCAAAACTCGAGTGACGCAAGGCGTTCCGGAATGGAACGATTGCACAAGTCGGGGAGCGTCTTTTGACATTAAATTCCTGTATCAGTTGCTTAGCACTCTCAAGATGGAATTTCTTGTTATTAAATTTCAGTCGAGTTTACCCTCTCTCAATGAGGTTTTATTCTTATTTTCATAAACAGGCAATTTGAATCCTTCTTTTATTCAAAACTACCAAATAAAAACAGGAGATATTGCCAAGCAATAAAGACATTTTCCCTGATGCACCAGGCCAAAGAACTATTTGCATTTAGAAGTTGTGTTTTCATTAACTATTGTCCAGGGTTATGTAAGCAGGCCAACAGGCACCTCATGCTTTATTTTCCCTTCTGCTACTCTATTAGGAAAGGTCCAGTTCTGGCAGTAAAACCACTAATTCAAATAATCCCATGTCATAGCCAACCATCAAGGAGGATAACAACTTGACAGGATTCATCTCAGAGCCTGTTAACACCACTCTTTAAATTGGATGGACAGTCTGCTCTTCAGAGACATGGGGCAGTCTGCGCACACTCTCTCGAGGTTGATAGTGTCCATGAAGTCACTGATGTATCTGAGAGAAAGAATCCAGGGACAGGAAGTGATCTCTGCTTTGTCACATGACAGTGCCAAGTAAAGCATCCAAACTGGCTGATCGATTTTTCTATTATGACCCAGAATTATTAGTTATGTGGATTTCGAGTAGCTTTATTCATAGTTAGTAGAAGTTGTCTATTCAGGTTATAATTAACTTTCATATTTTTCAATTGTATAGGAATTTCACTTCAACGTTCAGATCAATTCTGATTCAGAAAAAGACCTTCAAACACCACCTCCACTCTACTGAATGATCAACTACCTTGAAATAAAATTTCTGCTAGAAAAACTGAAAATTCCATAATTGGATTTGTTTGAATGACAACTTATATGATTTCAAATGAACAATAATAATGTAATTATCTTTTGTCCAACTAAAAAGAAACCCCAAATAGAACAGTTTAATTTTCTAGCCTTATCACCACAGACAAGAAGAAAGTTTATAAATACATCATTTAAGCACTAATATTGTTCTTTATTAATAAAAGAGAAAGTCTGAAGTGTTTAACATTAAGGAATGTTACAAACCCATTCTTTATGGATTTGTTGGATACGAAATATTAGGACTTAAATTTTCATCAGATAACTATGTAGCATAGCAATAAGAGATCATTTTTTGAAAAACAATGTAATATTCCAACAGTATTTAATAGGTGTCATCTACACAGCCATATGCACATTCTTTGTACACATGAAACACTACTGGCTTTTCTTTCCACAATGGAAATAATGCTATGGCAAAAGGAAGGTGAGGAAATTCTGACATGGCTTTTGGATTAAGCTGTTTAGGGAGCAGTTTGATTAAACACCAGAAGCCTGTCTGGGTTTGAAGAAGAGGGAAATTAGATTTGGGGTAAAATCCTGGCCCCATTAAAGTCTGTGGGAATTTTGCTATAGACTCTAGTGGGACCAGGGTCTCACCATTTGAGCTGATATAATTATTAGGTATAATTTCCATAGTGTGATCTTTGTTAGATAATGTAATTAAAGTTTGATTCACCACTGTAAATACTTTACATTTTCTAATCTAGTCAAATGTTTCATGGTAGAAATTCTGCTGTTTCATCTTATTTTAAAGTCTCTACGACATATAGGTTGCCATATATACACCTAATAAGAAGAACAACAGAGTTTTAAATACAGCAATTACTCATTACATTACATTACTGTCAACAATATTACTTAGCATATTCAGAGTAACATATATACCTGAAGAAAAATCCTTCCAATTCCACTCAACAGCTGAGGTTCCTGTTCTGGGTAATATTTGATGACTGTGTGATATGCATCTACAGCAAGCACATAGTCCTAAGGGGGAAAAAGCACATGACTAGATTTTAAGATCAGCATTCACTCATTGTTTTATGTACGCTCATTTTAAAAAGTGTGTATGCAGTAAACAGATATTAATGAGAACGAACGAGTACAGAATTAAAATCATTTCAAATATTTAATGTTAATGGAATTTCCTCCCAACATGGCAGTGCTAGCTGCCGGCTATGCTAACCTTCTGACTATTCAGTTCTATTGGAAATGTACACTACACCCAGTGATAAAGTGGCAGATTTTTCTTTACATTTCTTTTTCCAACTGGGTCACGTCTCTCCTCAGCAAAATTAGCAACACAACCTGACTATTTACTCTTCAGCTTCCAATAATGATTTCGGGTGGCATTTTCAAAAGCACCTAAGTGAATTAAAAGCACAGGTGCCATTTAGTCTAAATCAATGGGGATTATGCACCCAAGTGATTTTGGCACTTCTGAAAATTCCATGTGTAAATTGTAATACAAGGACTTCTAGTGTGCGATGCTCAGAATCAAAACCATATCAGAGACTAAAGGGCACAGCCTGCTCGTTCCAGGCTTTGCCAGCTATCTTGAGACGCTTGTGTATACACTCTGCCTAGTAGCCTACCATTTTGTTTTGTTTTGCCTCTTGAAGGTGCTCTAATCTCTGCAAATTTTAATGCTGAAAAGCAACAGGGGTCACTTTCCCCCCCAACTTACTTGGAAAAAATGCCACAGGCATTTCTTTTGCCTTCTCCTCTACTCCATAACTGATGGCAGATATTGTGAACTGTGTTATGTTTTCTTAAGGCTATATTTAAAATGACTAAGACCTGCCTATTTCTGACCCAGATCATGACCTGTAATAATCCAATTTTGCAGTAACAAAAATCAAAGAGATCTTCAATTGCAAACAATTTGCAAACTGTGACTATACTTCATTAACAATGATACATGTATAATATTTAATAACTGACATATTTAGAGCTCTTGTTCTCACTCTGATGCACCATGTCATATTAAATGTTACTGTATCAATATTGGCTACCCCAGAAGTTCAAAAATCCAACAGACAGACCCTAAAAAAGTCAGGTGGTTTTATTTGGTCCGCTTTCTTTTGAACTCCCTTTTCCATCAATGTGTGTGTGATATTTACACTGTTGAGAACTCTCACAAATTTATAGTGAGTAAGGTGATTTTGGCCTCTGCTACTGGAACTCTTGGTAGAGAACTCAACCGAGATTGGGGGCCCATTGTATTAAGCATCGTATAAATAACACATAGTATGAAACAGTACCAGCGCTGAAGAGCTTACAGTCTAGTGAAAAGCATGGTAGTGACTTTGTGAGGCAGGAACTGGAACTGGGATTCACCAAACTCACCTCATATAGGGACCACCAGACTTGTATTAGGTAGGAACAGCTTTTAATCCCTGTTGAGCTAGCTATGATTCAAACTGGTGATGGACAGGTGAAAGGCTCTATAGTCTTGTCATTTCGTGAGATGCTTCCATAAGCATTAATGTTACACCATTGAGAACAAGGCTAGCTTTCTGGAATAATACGTTTATTAAATCAAATTCTGATCTTTTAGGGGAGTTCACCAACAGCTCTTCTACTCTGGACACAGGCAAAACCTCCCACATTCTGTTAGTCTTAGTCTTAAACACACACTAAAGGCTTTTCTTGCACCTTAAAGTTAACTTGAGTTATAACTTGAGTCCCATCCATATATAAAACCTCTTACCTCAAGTGTGCTGGAGTTTTTAACTTGAGTGGCTAGCCCAAGAGGGGGCATATTTTAAAACTCGAGAGAGCACGTGTGGATACAGGTTAACACTACTCAAGTGCTGCTAGACCTCCACTGCCTTCCCACAATTCTTCCCCCACCTCCAATAGCCAGATAGGGCAGAAAAGTTCTCCCACAAATCACTGGGAAAGAATTAATAGAGCAGCTCAACTTATTGCAGTGCTAAGAATCATGGGATGTGTACCCAGAAGTCTTTGTACCACATATGAGTGAATGCAGCTGCTTGAATATTATTTTGCAGTGTGGCTGCTCCACCTTGAGCTATGCTAACTTGAGAGGAATAACTTGAGGGTAGAGAACTTGAGTTAACTCTTCAGTGAAGAGACAAAGCAGTCTGTCACAACATATTATGTCTAAAGGGACAATTATACGTAACCAATTACACATAATAAAAATGCAACAGTAAAATAAATGGGATGTTATACTAATTCACTTTTAAATGCAATGTTTTACAAAATAAAATAATTCCAATTATCACTCTGTGGTCCTTACCCTAACTTTTATACATATATGTAGTTTTTCAGCCCCACATGGATATGAGCAGGGCTGGAAACCACAATATTCTGATCCAAAGCATAGACCTCCTCCACTTTAGCTTAAAGAGTAAGTGGTAAGAGGAAAGCATGCCGTTATCTGTATGAAGACCAGCCCATATAGGGAGACACCACACACAGTGAGTGGGTTACAGAAATGGAAGGCTGGACAACAGGGTGACTGGTTTCTATTCCGTGTTCTGGGAGCAGATGGTGGTGTAGCGGTTACAGAGAGCATAACCTAATGAAACAATGCCCCTGCTTGGGACATACGTAGGGTTGTATTCTGGGTGTAAAAGGGTGAGTCGCTAACACTTATCACAGAATCATAGAATATCAGGGTTGGAAGGGACCTCAGGAGGTCATCTAGTCCAACCCCCTGCTCAAAAGCAGGACCAATCCCCAATTAAATCATCCCAGCCAGGGCTTTGTCAAGCCTGACCTTAAAAACTTCTAAGGAAGGAGATTCCACCACTTCAGCTAAAGAACCACACCTCTTTGCATGGATGCAGTAGAAGAGTCATTAATCTGTGGGCTTACCCACTACACTATGGCACAGAGCCACATGGCACTAATGTTAGTTACACAAGCACCTGATTTGACAGGTTCCTTCTGGATGACTATGTTGCAAAGTGGATAAACTTAGCTCTGTTATATTAGAGACCTGTGTTTCATTCTCAGCTCTGCTTGAAGCAGGTTTGTGTAAGCTCCCAGTTATCTGTGCAAATGGTGAAGGACAGTTACCCTCCTATATGATATGAAATCTTGGTTTATAATAAGGGTTGAGAAGGGTACAGAAACGTTAACAGCAGTCACTGGAAGCATTAGGACTAGAACTCATGGTCTTTGGGCTTAAAAGGTTCATGCACCTTCACTAAACTATAAAACAGAAGTAGGGAGTTCTCTCTCTCACACACTGCTTCCTAAAAAAAAAAAAAAAAAAAATCACACGAAGGCTGAAGATTTTTGCATCATCATGAGAATGCCTGCAGGAGGGGACAAATTTGCATTACTCATGATTAATTTATGAGAATGGACAAAACTGTGTTAAATTTTAATAACTTTTGAATCAAGCACTATTTAGACCTAAACCTAGATAGACTAACTCATGTAAATAGTCCCAATAAATCCAATCGGGCTATTTGCGTGAAGAAAAGTAAAATATGTTTTTGCACCCTCAACTGGTCATTAGGATTAGTCCTGAGAAACTGGTCCTGAGATAGGAGAGAGGACAATTTATGCTGTCTCTGTCTTTTAAATCAAAAGAGAATCCAGATCAGAAGAGAATGCTCAGACATCAGACTCTTCTGTCACTAGTATAGATTGTGGTCTTCCCTTCCTCCTCCACATCGTTTTAACTGCAGTAGAGCCAGTGCTGCCCCCACCCTGAGCACCGACTCCACACTCCCATTGGCTGAGAACCGGCCAATGGGAGCTAGGGAGCGGTGCCCACGGGTGAGAGCCACAAGGAGCCGCTTGCACTCCTCCGCCTAGGAGCTGGACCTGCTGCTGGCTGCTTCTAGGGCGCAGCGCGATCTGCGGTGCCAGGACAGGCTGGAAGCCTGCCATAGCACCCCCGCTACGCTGCTGACCTGGAGCCACCTGAGGTAAGCCCGTGCCCCGACCATGCGCACCAATCCCCTGCCGCAGCCCTGAGCCCCCCCACAAACCCAGAGCCCCTTCCTGCACCCTAAACCCCTCATACCTGGCCCCACACCAGAGCCTGCACCCCCAGCCCAGACCCCCTCCTGCACCCTAACCTCCTGCCCCAGCCCACAGCCCCCTCCCACATCCTGCACCCCCCACCCCTGTACCCTAACCCTCTGCCCAAGCCTTGAGCCCTTCCCACACCTCAAACCCCTCATCCCCAGCTCTGTTGTGTCGCGGGCATCAACAATTTTCTTCAACTGGGTAGTCAGAAAAAAAAGTTTGAAAACCACTAGGTTAGAGGACTAGCCTTGGGAAAGGAGACCCAGGTTCAATTCTCTGTTGCATCACAGGTTTCCGGTGTGATCGTGGGTCACTTCTCTGTGCCTCAAATCACCACCTTTTCTACCTAACAGGGCTATTAGTGAGGTGCTCATATACTGTGGTAATGTGGCCATGTAAGTACAGAACTCCATGGGCCACGTAAGTTTTCCTTTCAGGATGGTCAACAAGAATGACACTGAGGGGAATTTATTGGGTTTAATATTTAAGGCTGGGATTGTTAAAAGAGCCTAAAGGAGTTAGGTACCCAACTCCCATGGAAACTAATTATTTTAGGGTCCTTTGACAACCGTAGCCTTAAAGATAATCTATAATTATATTTCAACAAATACTAGTTAACTTTTTTGGCCAAAGGAAAAGGTTAATAAAATTTACAGCTGGAAATTAGTCAATGTTTTTTACACCAAGGTTACAGGGAACGTTATTATAGTTCAGAAAATAACTGTGGTCATCATCACCACTCTATCCAACATCACAAATGATTCAAGTAACAAACAGTATTTCAGAATCAACACAGGATTACATCCCAATATAATATATTGTCACTAGATGGCGATAGATTGCACTGACTCAGTTCAGGAGAAACCCAGAATTTGTTTGTTTATTCATTACACTGGAAAACAAAAAGCTTCAATTTTGAATGATATATTTTACAATGAATACTCCTCTAGAAGTATATTATAGACAACTGATATCTTTTACACATATCTGAAGCTTTTGTGTAATTCGTTTCTTCAAAAAACACTTATCCTCAAGAAAGATCACGTTTAAAAATCATTATTTGAAAAAATAATCAATTAAAGCAGAGATGAATATCTGAGCATTGTTTGTTATTAAGACTGTTTTAACATTTGGGAAAATTTAAAGGAAAAAATAAACAAGAAGCCCATTTACCCATCAGAGGGTTTGTGGCATATACCGTATAGATTATCTTCACACTTTGCCCTGATTTTAACTGCAATATGATTTATGTTTGAAAACTGCTCTTAAAATATTCTGACTCTTATAAGTGTCAAGTATCAGGGGGTAGCTGTGTTATTCTGTATCCACAAAAACAACGAGGAGTCTGGTGACACCTTAAAGACTAACGGATCTATTTGGGCATAAGCTTTCGTGGGTAAAAAACCCACTTCTTCATACATCTTCATAGAATATTAGGGTTGGAAGAGACCTCAGGAGGTCATCCAGTCCAATCCCCTGCTCAAAGCAGGACCAACCCCAACTAAATCATCCCAGCCAGGGCTTTGTCAAGCCGTGCCTCAAAAACCTCTAAGGATGGAGATTCTACCACCTTTCTAGGTAAGCCATTGCAGTGCTTCACCACCCTCCTAGTGAAATAGTGTTTCCTAATATCCAACCTAGACCTCCCACACTGAAACTTGAGACCATGGCTTCTTGTTCCGTCATCTGCCACCACTGAGAACAGCCTAGCTCCATCCTCTTTGGAACCCCCCTTCAGGTAGTTGAAGGCTGCCATCAAAACCCCCCTCACTCTCTTCTGCAGACTAAACAAGCCCAGTTCCCTCAGCCTCTCCTCGTAAGTCCCCTAATAATTTTTGTTGCCCTCCGCAATAATTTTTGTTGGACTCTCTCCAATTTGTCCACATCCCTTCTGTAGTGGGGGGGGACCAAAACTGGATGCAATACTCGAGGTGTGGCCTCACCAGAGATTCCCTCGATCTGCTGGAAATGCTCCTACTAATACAGTCCAATATGCCATTGGCCTTCTTGGCAATGAGGGCACACTGATGACTCATATCCAGCTTCTCATCCCAGGTCCTTTTCTACAGAACTGCTGCTTAGCCAGTCAGTCCCCATCCTGTAGCGGTGCTTGGGATTCTGAAGAAGTGCATCTGAAGAAGTGTGTTTTTTACCCACAAAAGCTTATGCCCAGAAAAAATCTGTTAGTCTTTAAGGTGTCACCAGACTCCTCGTTGACTCTTATAAGGCAGTTCTTGAAAATTATGTGCATTATGGAAAGGCACATGCAACATATTCAAGGACAAGTTTAATACAGGTAATGGCTATGTTGGGGGTTCAATAGCAACATATAATTGTCATGTGGGAAATCTGAATTCTGGAAATAAATCTTGGAATTCTAGTTTCCTAGATTGAGAGTTATAATACAGATTGTGAATACACTTGGTTTTGAGAAATGAAGGAAGGAGAATGAGTTGCAGTTCTCTTGAAGCAACCTTGTCAGAAACACTGATGACTTGCTTAGAAATTGGAGTTCATGCCACTATTGAAGTGAGAAGAAAATATCATGAAAAGGATGAAACGGGAATAGAAGCAAGAAAGGCATACAGAAGCAGAAAAGAAGAGGAGAGTAGAAGTGACTAAAGGAGATATAGGGAGCTTAGGGAAAAAATTAGTATAGTTAAAAGCAAAGTTACTGTATAACTTGTTGAAAACCTGCAGTGTTTGCTAACTATATTTCTTTAACTGGATATTTTTATACTCCAGTTATACATTTAAGTTTGGGATGGAGACTCAGTGTTTAAATTTTTTTCCCACCTGCATTTGAAAAAGGAGAGTTTCCTGAAAACTAACTGTGTCTCAGGATTCTGATTCAAAACAAAGACTTGTTTGGTTTAAAGACAGAATGGGGCTTCTTTCTAACCACCCTGATTTGCTGTGCTGTTGTATTTACGTAAGAGGGAATAGTGCTGATCTCACTCTAACTATTCCGAATATGCATTTCCATCTCCTGGGATCCTCATAAGAGCAGAATGCTGCATTTTAAGGCAGTCTCTGAGTAACTGACACTTTCATACCTGTACTCTATTTGAGATATTATTTGAGTGTTAAAAACCATCAAGAAAACAAGGCTTACGAACAGCTTATTCAGCTTTATGGAAAGCTAGGTTCAGGAATGCTGTTGGGTAACTAGGATCATAAGAACAGTCATACTGGGTCAGACCAATGGTCCATCTGGCCCAGTATTCTGTCTTCCGGCAGTGGCCAATGCCAGGTGCTTCAGAAGGAATGACCAGAACAGGCAATTGTCAAGGTATCCACCCCCCCGTTGTCCACTCCCAACTTCTGGCAGTCAGTCAGAGGCTAAGTAAACCCAGAGCATGGGGTTGCATCTCTGACCATCTTGGCTAATATCCACTGATGGACCTATCCTCCATGAACTTATCTAATTCTTTTTTGAACCGTTACAGTTTTGAACACTAGGAATATGGAGAAGTTCAGAGCCTGGTCTGTGAGAGGTTATAGTGCGGACAGTGATGCTCTGGGGTTTTGCTGCTAACTGATCCATAAAGTAGCTTTAAGATCTGGATTGAGGCAGTCCATAGCTCTTGCCACAAGCTTAGCACAGGGGCATCCCTATTCCCATGGCAACGAGGTCTACTTTGGAAGAAGTTTGTTGTTCCCTCTTTCTGAATGCAAGGAGAAGCTGTTGCACAAAATGGAGTAGGAAGGCTTACAGGAAAGGGTGGAAAAACAGGCAAAAAATAGCCAACTCCACTCTGACTGTTCCTTCCTTTGCAGCTATAGGAGACTAAAAACTCCAGGGTCAGAATCTAGTTGCACAGACATATGGACAAAGCAGAAGATGTATTTGGATGCTTCGAGTCTCTGTCACACACAAAGCCTACAGTATCATTACTGTGTGCAACTAGAGCAACATTCCTAGTACATCGTTTGAGAAAGACAGAGAGAGCATATAATTGGTTTTAATTACAGTATTTAGTTAAGTGTTTGAAAAATTCAATTTAAAAATGCAAATTCTGTATTGTTATTGCATGTGCTCTGAAATGATTTCAGGAGAAATAAGTGTAGATATGGTCCTAAAGAACACTGCTGCAAGTGGTTATCTATTAAGTAAGTAATTACTAAGTCTAATTAATTCTTCACTAAGCTAAACCTTGTACAGTCAGGTAGTCTTCCCCTATCCACGCACCAGTAATTCTCTTGCACTTTCTCTGACATTCTATTCTAGTATATACGGTAACTCTGCAGTTATTGCCACCCACGTACCTTCATCATTAGCAGACAGTTTGCCATGGAGTACATCACCCGGCCCAGACGTGACCTCCACAGCTCAACAGAGGCTACAAAATAAGAGCAGCTTGTGAATGTGCACAAATAAATTAGAGGTTTTTTCTAGCCATCAATTATTGGTCCTATGAATTCTGATTTAAAAGATCCCCCTTGTTAAAATCACTGGGTTTTAGCATAGAATTTTTAATTCTTTGCCACACCATACTGTCAGATAGAAAATACTGCCTCTCTTAAAAGGACTAATTCGATTGGTTCTAGGAAAAGAATATCTGCATGAATGATGCAACGATGCAAAAGCAACAGACAACCTTTCAGCTTTTAGTTCAGGCAACATATTAAATATTAAAAGAAGCCACACATTTTCTAATATCAGAACAGAAGATACATAGAAACATCTAAATAATTATTACCATCAGCATACAACTGTGTAATTTATGGGATTAAATTTAATCAACTAAAAACCCAAACGTAGCCTGAAATCTCATCTCAAAGCCAGAACATGCAGGGTCAGAGCTCACTCAGTCTGGGACTATTTGTTTTCCTCTGGCTTAGTGATCTGGTGGAAAAATCTGCCAAGTCTGTCTGTCTTTTCCACGCTCCTGGAGTTTGCAGGCTTTAAAGGCTGCAGCAGCAGATTGCTCATTCCCTTGGTTTGAGACAGACTCATGATGTTGTAAGAGAATGGTTCTCCCTATGTATCCACTGTCACAGGGACCATAGATCAGAGAGACATGCAAATCTGAGGATATCCGCTTTATATCTTCAGACCACGTTTACAGATCACGGATTGGATGCACATAAAAATTTTGTATTCGTGCAGGGCTCTATAGATCAGTACTAGAAATAAACGTAGTCTTCTGTCCTTCAAAAATAGACATTAGGGATATTAATTTGGTACATGATTGATTTTGAATTAAATTATTTGAAAACAAATATTACGGCTCACCCTGACGATCAACTCTCAAAGTTACTGTATTGGGGTTGGAAAGACAAAAAGAAAAAGGGTGGATTGCAACAGAACAGTGATAACTGTTTGTTCTTGTGTAGCAATAAAGGGGTCTGTTATAAAAACCATGGCAGGTTACAGAGAGTTAATTTTTTTTAATGGATTTACAAATGCCATTCATTACAAGTAATAAAAGCTTGGTGAGACAGGTAAAAAAATATAACTTTATGTTCTAGACACATTAAAAATTGAGTGCATAGTTGTGTCTCCAAGATTGGACCTGGTATTTAATTTATAATAGCTTCCTTAGTCATAGCTCTCTTATATCATTCAGCAGTATGAAGTCATATTTTATATATTTTCCACCCCAAGTTCATGTAAAACATGTATTGCCATTACTGGAGAGTACATTGCATACCATGAGAGGACATTCTACCCCATGTTTTCTACCTTTTGTTTCTTTCTGAGCCCATGGCAGAAACAGGGCAGTGTTAAATAACTCTTTCCAATGATGTTAACATCCCATTTTTGAAGCAATTTTAGGTTTGTCAAGTGCATTTCCTGATGTTTTTGTGCTTGTGTTGTCTCTAAACGTTAATATTAAAAAAATCTGGGTTACATTGATCTGAGATCCAGTCAGTTGATTGAAAATTAAGCTATTATGTAGCTCATACCATATTTCAAACTTACTGTGATGTGTTTAAAAAAGAATGCATTTGATTATAGTTTATTGTTTTGTGTTGTGACATCACTTGGTTATAAAGAACACTTTCTGTTATTGCTGGCACTATTAAAATGTCTGTGTGGTAGCCAGGACAGGCAGAGAATAAAGTAAAAACAGCAGCTAATGAGAAGTTTCAAATATGCTGGAAAATGGAACCTAGATGGCTGCGTACATTTCTACAGCTGCTCAATACACAGAAGACAATGGGAGTTCTGAACATTGAGCAGCTACAAGCTCAGGCCCAGTAAGTCCGAAGGCTGAATAAATATGCCAGATGCACTAAAAGGACACTCAGGAGGGATTCTTATTGCTGGCAGCAAGGGGCTAAAGAATGACATGGGAAAACAAAAAATAGAAACCCAATACCTGATGATTATTAGTAGTAACCCAGTAGTAGAAATGACAATAACTCACCTTGCAAGCCCTTGCTGTTACACTATCCATCTGAACATTCCTTCCTAATGGTTATTAATTTAGGCTCTGATTGTACAGTGGCTCTATGTGCTCCCATTCATTTCAATGGGAGCTCTGTGCGTGGTGCAGCTGCAGACTTGGTTCCTTATAGAAAACAAACGTGCTGCCAGGCAAATGGTGCAGTGCTAAATCTCTCCTACTGAACAATTGGAAAATGAGACATTCTGCTCCACACTAGAGAAGATGTATGTCATGGGCTGGTTGGTGCAGCACCTACTCACACTGGCAATAAGGAAATTACTCCCCAGACATAATCCCCATAATGACTTAAGGTTGTCTTCAGCCACAGTTAATAAGGTTTGTTTCAGCTGGATTTTCCACAAAAATAAAAGCGTCCTGCAGCTCAAAGCGCAGCACAGGGGCAAGTAGGGAGCAGAGCCGACCAACCCCATCAGGCAAGAGCAGCCAACAGTCCCTGCAAGCATCCCCAGAGTCCTTTGGCACTGTTAGGCAGACAGGCAGTTGTACTCCAAGCACAGCAGCATCTCTCCCAGCTGTTCAGCTACTCCCTCCCCTGGTTCCTGCTGACTACCTTTTTTCTAGCTCTTCCCCCTGCTGAGTTGAGCACAGCTCTAAAGGCAGTTGCAGACACAGTGGCGTAGAGCAAGGAGCCAGTTACCCGCAGGTCAGAGGGGCAGCCTGCAGGGGACAGAGCTAGTAAGTGGCTAGGAGAGAAGTCTCTGCATATGTGACAAAAAGCAGTCAGTCTTTTAGAGAGAGGGTGGGGAATGGCAAAAAGACCTGGGGAAAATGAGGAGGGAATCCATGTGGGAGAAAGCCAATGGGTGGAAAAGAGTGAAATCCTATGAAGGAAGCCAGGTATGGAGAGGGAATAGAAGGTGAAAACAGAGCCACATAGAGAAGGAGCTTCATTTTTTCAAATAATTTTTGAGAAAGGCCAAGTATTTCTCTCTGCTTTTTGGTCTTGTCCCCAGAAAGAAGTAAATTTAATATTCACCAGAATACATATGCAAATAGCTGGCTGATGGGTTCTTGCACATGCCCCTTCCCCCTAAAAAGCACTTAGAGATTTGTCTAAAGCAAAATTTCACATTGGTTGGCAACTATACCCAGACAAACTGATTTATTCTCCTCCCACCCTAATGGTAGACAATGATTTCCTAGACCCTGTAGGGGAACAGTGTCCTGAGGAATGTTAACCAGGTTAACTCATAGATTGTTGGTAGTGGAAGAAAGGCTTCTGGCTTCCTGTGATAGATGTTTTAACCCCTAGCTTGCTAGACATGGTAAGGGGTACAGCTGCCCTGTTACAGTGCCTAAAACCTCACGTCAGATAAAATTTTCAAGAGCACTTAAATTACTTAGGTGCCTAAGTCCCGTTTTTCAAAAAAGTGACTAGGGTTGCCACTTCTGAAGTACAAAATACAGGCAAATCCAGGATGACGCTCAGCCCATAAAACTTGAAAGCTGACAGTGTACTGAGCACCCTTATAGATTTATTGGGACAACTACCTCATAAAAAGGATGATGCTGGGATGTCTAAGCTAGCCAATGGGAGAGGCTGATGAGAGGGGTGTATCCTTAGCCCCACTCCTCTGACAAAGTTAGGTGCCTAAGTCAGGGAGGAGCTTATGTCTGCTTGCAATCCCCAGCTGGAAACCCCTCTCATGGTGTCAGATGACTTAGGTGCCTAAGTGGTTCCTTGCAAGAAATGCTGGAGGAGGTGGCGATGGTATCTCCCGTATAATTTTTAGCCCAGTGGTTAAAACACTTACGCAGGATGTGGAAGACCTGGGCTCAAATCTCACCTCTGTTTGATGGGACCAAAGAATTTAAGCCGGGGCCTCTCACGTCTCAGAAGAGTGTACTAACCATGTGGTAAGGAATAGTCTGATGTGGGGCTCCCTCAGTCTCTCCTACTGAAGCTGTTCCACTTTATATTAATACTTACATAAGCATAGGGCCAGAGAGAGAGAAAGTGCAAATGAGACTATAGGCCAGTGGTTAGGGCACCCACCTGGGATGTGGGAGACCCTAGATCCAGTCCCCCAGCTCCAATCACTCTTTCACATCCAACTTCAGCAGGAAAGATTGAGAGCACTCCACATCAGAATATCCCATAGCTCAATGGTTAGAGCACCTTCCTGAGAGGTGTGAGTCCCCTGTTTAAATCCAGTACCCCCATCAAGTAGAGGGAGACTGAACCCAGGTCTCCCATATCCCAGGCAAGTGCTCTAACCACTGTGCTAAATGTTATAAGGGAGAGCACAACCACCACTTCTCCCTCCTCCAGCTGGATTCTGAAGAGTCCCCATCCATTAAGCACGCTCTTTGCATGCTTACCGGACTGGGCCCAACAGAAAAGATAGGCATCTCCCCGCCTATTTTCCCCTGATTTGAGGATCCCGCTGCAGGTTAGGCATCTGGACGCCACGAGTGAGGTGTTGTGCACATGCACAGAGGCAAAATCTTTGGTGTCTTGGGAACTTTTAAAGCAAAAATTTAGGTACTCAGTGAATTTAGGGTTAGGAGGCAGCCAAACAGGGTTTTATGAATTGTAGTGGAGTTTAGGAGCCTAAGTCTCTTTGGGATGCTAAGGCCCAGATCCACAAATCTCACTGATTTTCAGTGAGCCTTAGGCTCTCAAGTGGGAAAAAGGAATGTTTTTCTTGTCAGGATTCTCTATCAGCAGCTCCCGACGCAATTCCCTTTCTTCCTGCCCCATGATCTTTAATAAATAAAGGAAAAATTAAATTAAATTAAAATAAAAAGGAAAAAAGAAAATGTCTCCTATAAATATTAAATCAAAATATGGTAATACATAGCAAAAGACCTTTCAAATTAATATAATCTGCTGGGACCAACAGGGAAGGAGGGAAAATTTGGATCTCAAGAAGTTTCTCAGATTTCGGGGGAGAAGATTGATGGAGGCAATGAGCCTCTTAAGACAGATACCCATCTGGTCTGTCTCCAATGCCTCAGCAATGCATTGATTTTCTTGTACACCTAACACTAAAGAATGGCAGTCATACTCTCTGTTTCTTCAGACTACAAAGGAGATTTGATTTAATTCACCAATTTGATCAAAATAAAAGGTGAAACTGTTAAATGAATTCCAGCAAATAAAAATACAAGATGTATCATTTCAGGGGCTGAAGAGACTATAATATCACAAAAGTACTCTTTTAACAGCTTTGGGGAAGTCTTTTGAAAACTTTTGGCATACCTGGGCAAGTTATAAAAATACACTGCCTGTAAAAAGAAATTTTAAAAAAATGCCTACCTTGTCTGTTCTCTTGTGTAATGTTAGTCATACGTCCATCTTCTGCTAAGCCTTGCGCCAAATTTTCTAATATCTGTAGCAAATTTTTTAAAACTAACATGAGTTTAAACAGGCATTCTGGAATTAGGCAGCATTTTGTATTATATGCAAGTTATCTACAGTTGTCATAGTCTGTATGTAAAACAATTCAAACAGGAGTGTTTCACATGGACACATTTCAAAATCACTGATTATTACTATAGCTAGATCAATCATAACAGAAAGCCTTTGAACTGTAGTGCTGATGTTAGAGTTCAGGTTTATGATACTCACAAAGCATTAAAAGACAGCATATACCAGGGACATATGCATTTTGTTAAGCAAAATATCAAATATGCTCCAGAAGAGAATGATTCAGCTCTTGCAAAAATGTCAAACTGATTCCAGAAGAGAACTAAGAGGTTTTTTTAAATTTTATTTTATGTATCCCATAAATTCATTGATGCTCTGGTTTTAAACAGAATTTGCCCCCTTTTTGTTCTTAAATTAAATAATGATCCTTCTAACTCTCAGCTCCATTTGCTTCCCAAAGTTGGGATTTTGTTGCTGTTTTTTATTTATTAGAGATTTAAATAATATAAGCTACGGAGTGAGCAAAAAATTTTGTTTGCTGGATTATCTGGAGAATGAATATGTATAACTATTGGAGCATCTGGTTTAAGATATCTGCACTTTGAATATATCTATCTATCTATCTATCTATCTACTGTTTCATTTGCAATTTAAGCCAATTGCATTTCTCCAATCCCGCTATGGTGTATCCAAATGTCTCTCTGACTCCTGAAGATTACCCTATTTTTGCTGATTCCCATCCCCTCATAAATCACCGCATTTCAGTTTCATCTTTTTGGTCACAGTAGACTGAGTGGGACTCCCTTAAGAGCCTGTTAAGCCACTCACTCTTTAATTAGCTGGTGGGTTTAGTTTATCAGCAACATAGGAGGCACTCCCTCTCCTAGGAGCCCAGTGCACTGCGTACCTAGTGCTTTCAGCTCATGACAGTTTAAAGAGAGATTATTTACAGTGCAGTAGCACTCAAAATGTGCTTTGTGCTTTCCAAACAATAAAAGAAATAGGTAAAATTGTCAAAAGAGATCAATTGATTCCAGAGCTTAAGTTCTATTTTGAAAAGTGCCTTAGGCATGAAGAGCCTTTTGAAAATGGGGTTCAGGAACTTAAAGAATAGATTTTTAAAGAAGTTTAGGTGCCAAAAGATGCAGCTAGGAGCCTAGTGCCTCTTCAGCAGTGTATAAAAAATGGCCATTTAGGTCAACAGGCAGGCAAAAGGAAAGTTTATTTTGCAACAGAAGAGAATCATGGGTTAAAATGCAACTCTGAAGTAATTACACTGATTTCATTCTGGTTACACCAGGAATGATTTTAGTCCAAGGCAGGTTTCTCTTCTCTTTAAATTTTTGTCTCCAGGTGAGTGTTTGTTAGAGTTTCTTTCACGGTAGTATTAGCATTTAAATGGTCCCAGCTAGATTTTCAAGTGAACACATCTTTGAGGTAAATGGAAGAAACAGTTTATACCTTTGCTGCTGATGCTACTGTTTGTCTGGAGACAGTTCTCTGCAATGCTGGCTTAACAGGGCAACAGCATATTGATTTATGCAGGGAAGACTAGTGGTACCACACAGTGTATTAGCAATTTCCACCCCGTTTCCCTGCCCTAAAACAAGAAACTTAACTTATGCAGAAAAAGGCAGAATTTGCAATGAGACACAAATTGTAGAACATGCAATTTCTGCAGTTCCTGTGATTGTTTCACTGGTTATATTCATAGCTGTATTTGAACTCAGTGGAAAAATGTACATGATCTAAATTCCTCCTTGAGGCATATCCACAGCTATACATTTGATTAAATAAAACTAGATTCTGGGAAAAGTTTCCATTCAACAATCTGCATAAGGAATGCAAAACAAAACTCTAGTTATGCATGCATGACCCTGATTAGGGTAAACTTTATTTTTCTGTGTGAACTTGGTGTTTATCACAATAGGAGAATTATAATACTCTATACTAATATTATAATCCTAATAAGGATTACGCAGGCAGGCGCTGTACTAACTGACCACAGAAACTTTGATTATGCCCCTTGATATGCACTTGAAAAGCTTTGGTTATGCCAGTCCTTGAGCTCTCTTGAATAGGATCTGCCCCTTTGGCTACAGTTTATACTGTAACATGACTAAATATTTAATATGACTAAAACTGATTGGCTGGCTTAGAGATGACTTCATGCCTCATGTTTATATCTGATGAAGTTTTGGGTGCAACATCATCAGAACTCATCTTGAATATTGAGTGCAATTGTGTGTACCTGATTATAGAAACACACTGGCAAATGCGAGAGAGTTCACATAAGAGTAAAATGATCAGGGGGCTGGAGAGACCAAGTTAAGAGCAGAATGAAAGAGTTAAATGTGATGTGCATAGATTGTAGACGTCACTTTAGCCAAATATCTGAACGGGTTAAACACCATGGAGTGAGAGGTAATATTTAGGATTATACAGAGTTTAAATTAGGGGTAATGTGATGAAATTAAGTAAAGGAAAACAGAATACTAGGAAATTTTCTTACTGTATTAGCGTGGAATAGTCTCCCAAGGGAAGTGGTGTCAACCTCACAGGCTGGTTCATTAAAAACTAGACTAAGCATTAGAAAACAATCATGCATTGGCAGGGAGCTAAAAGGTGAGCTAATACGTCTTTTCGCACCTCTAGCTTTTATGATTCCAAGATCATCAGATTTACATAATAGGTATCCATAGACACTTCTGTACTTGAGAAGGAGGGCTAAGGATTTTGAAATATTCCTCCTTCACTTTTAAAGTAATAAAACAAAACACTATTGGTTTATGGCTGCAAAGATCCCCCGTCATCAATTCCCCCTATTTTTAATGTTATTTTTTTGGTTGTGCCATGACTTTTTCTTTTAATGTGGAGAACGTGTTCTACTTATGAACAATGCAGACAATGTCCTGATTAACAAATTTGTGTGACCAATTATATATGCAGAAATGTCAGATTTAGTAATTTTTTCTAAGCAATTTCAAATGTTTTAGGTGGTTAAATTGCCAACTTTGTAAAATTTCTCATCTGTCCTGTTTATGCATCTTCCTCTTTATTTCATTCTCTCTCCCTTACACCTGTTCCTGCAATTCCTGTCTTAGAGGTGCACTGGAAGACAAAATATGTATCTGATGGCACACAACTAAAGCCATATGGTTGTTAGGCCTTTAAAATAACTGAATAGCAATATATCCTTTAAAAATAAAAATAAAAAGAGGAAATGCATATCTTTCATCTCAAGGGTGACCAGACATCTTTGTTCTGGCAGGGAATCATGGCTAATTATGTCATAAGTGGGATTTGTCCATTTTAACATAGCCAGCTGCAAGCTCTGACACATGCCAAAGAGTGTGGCACTTCAAATACCAGATAGCACAAGACCAGGATTTGAAACACTATAATATATTGTATGCCAGTGTATGCAAAATTCAATATGGAGGTACCATGCTGATGCTGAGCTCAGAAGCAGTTAGGAGGTGAGTCTCTTTAAGATAAGGAAGAGTGCTTATCCAGGAGCATGTAAAGGAAAGTCAGAGAAGAGGCAGGACATAAAGCCAGTGGGTCAGAAAGTCAGTCACAGTCTAAGGCCAGAAGGGATCCCCAGATGAGAGGCCACCAACACTACCCACACACTAAACCCAACAACAGCAGATACACTCTTCAAGATGATGAAAAATGTCCCAAAAAGAATTTCTCCCAATTGCCAAACTCTGTACATCCCATAAGTGTTTCCAAACAGTTCTTCTTTCTAACAGTACGGCAAGAGCCACAGAACCCTTCATTTGCCAAACCCTGTACACAGCAGAAAGAATGGAGTCCTGGTTTTTGGTTTAAAATCCTAGTTATTCTGCTATGTTTTGTTTTATTAAATACATTGGTAAAACTTGCCAACTGTCTTAAACAACAAAATAACATTGGAAATTATCTATCTTCTGCATTTGTATTATTCAAGGTATTTCTGAGAGTAAGTATAGCAAATACAACAAACACTGAGGTATTCATATTTATTTATCTTTGGTAAAGTTGCAAAATTTTTCAGTATCACAACTGTATGCAACGTTACAGTTCTTTAAAGAGCTAATCTGGAATTTATAATAGAGTTTACAATAAATAAAAACAGTATCTCTTAATCTGAGATACTAGAAGAGGTATTTGTTGTAAACTTTGTACAGGGAAGCTTTTGTCACATTTGCGTACAAGGAGTACCCACAACAGTACTAGTCTAACTTCAGCACTGAAAAGCGCTTGTTAAAAACAAGAACTAACACTGCATTAAATATCAATCTTTTAAAAATAACTGATTAGAATTTCCAAATAACTGTCACTTCCATCACTGTATGCAGTGTTGTTGTAGCCATCTTGGTTCCAGGATATTAGAGAGACAAGGTGGGTGAGGTAATATCTTTTATTGGACCAACTTCTGCTGGTGAAAAAGCCGAGCTTTTGAGTAAGAAAAGAGCGTAAGAAGAGCTCTGTGTAAACTCGAAAGTGTCTCTCTTTCACCAACAGAAGTTGGTCCAATAGAAGACACTATCTCAGTCACTTTCTCACTTCCACTGTAAGTTATCCAGAGTGCTAATATCTTTTGATGGGGGGAAGCAGACTTCTTGGTCAGTAAGAGCTATACTATGCTCTCGTTTCATGCAGCTGTACAAGAAGATAAACCCTCCTACTCAGGCATGCACAGTCTCTATCAGGATGCAGCCATTTTTCTACCCAGCTATTGTCTCCCTTACCCCAGTCAACAGAGCTGGCAGGCATGGTGAGAGAGGGAAGAATTCTACATCCCAAAAAGGAGTGAAAGTAAATTACTCCCCAGAAGTTATGGAAGGAGTGGCACAATCCTTTCCTTGTGCAATTTCTGGGGCCCTGCACTTAAATACCATCCCATTGTCGGGGCTAGTCTAAAGCCTAAATCTAGTCCTACACTGGATCCTCTGGGTAAAGGCAGTAAAATATACCTGCATAAACATTAAGAGATTCTATTGTATAGAGCACAGTTTTGTCTAACTGTGTGGTGTACTGCCCTGGGGGGGAGGGCACGAGGAGGTTTTCAGGGGGCATAGTCCTGCCCAGCCCTGTCCCAGGAGCAGCCTGCTACTCTCCCTCTCCTCACCTCCCTGACTGCTGGGGACTCCCTATGTCCTCTCCTATGTACTGCCCTGCTGCAGCCCAGACACCCAGCCGGCTGCAGCCTCATGTATTTTAAACCCTCCGGAGCTTGCAGAAGCAAGAAGCTCTTGGCATGGGGAGGACAAGGAGCCCCAGCCTGCTCTGCTCCACACCACACCACCTGGAGTCCTCCAGGCATGGAGCCAGTCACGTCCTGCTGACGTCCCAAGTGTGCATTGCCTGTTCCCCTCAGTGAGTCACTTTCTGCCTTGGACAACCAGGAGTTGGAAGGGGGAGGGTAGGCGGGCTATATGACTCCCATGGAGAATAGGGCACAGCAAAAAAAGTTTGGGAACCTCTGGTCTAAAGAAGCTTTTACCTTTGTGCAGATTGTTTTCATGCTGTGCAGTCTATCAAGTGACTCCTGGGGATTTCCTAGGTACTGTTCAAGTTCAGCATGTAAAATCCGCATGGAAAAGGGAACCATGGAACCTAGAATCATAATGAAATGTTTCTGAATTTGATTGCTACAGTTATCAATGCATATTGTTGCCAATGGTCTATATGGTATTTCTTAAAACATATCCTAGGCATATTCACTAGAGTAAGTGATTAGGAATTAAAATCTCTAAATTCTCTTCTTCCCTTGATTTAATAACTAAATGTTAAATGAGGAAAATGTTTGCTACTTTATAGAATAATATATTTTTGAACAGAGAAATATAAATATCTACAGACAAGCATAATCACAATGGTAAAAGTGTGCAACCAATTCATCCTTAAAATAATAGCATATGGTGTGTCTAGAAGTCCAAAAGAAATTAGAGAAATTTATTAGCAACTGAAAAATAAGGGTTTAGAATGGAAACTCATCTTCAATTTAACTACAAAATTGCTACAGAAATACAATAACCCCTAATTTAACAATAGTACTGAAGAATTTAAGATGGATTTTCTGATGGTAGCTCTTAAAGATGACACACACATTGAGAGAGACAGATAACCAAATAAGAAAGGAACACAAATTAAATGAAAATTAAATCACAGAATCATAGGACTGGAAGGGACCTTGAGAGATCATCTAGTTCAGTCCCCTGCACTCACGCTTCCTCCAAATAAATAAAAAGCAGATTTAAAGGGCCCCTTAAAAAAAAAAAAGACAAAAAGAAAAAAATAAAGATAGAAAACCCACATATGTTAAAAGAAACTAGGTAAGAGAATGAAAATAGCAAATTGAACAAAAACTTAAGAGGAATACTGTAACAAAGGTATATTAAATCTGATGTGTAATTAAAGAAAAACAAGGAAGTAAAATATGTTATTTGAGATTCTATTATCAGTACTTTGTATTGTAATAGTGCCCAAAGGCCCCAGTAAGGATCTGGGATCCAATGTGCTCATCCCTGCAACACCAAACAGCTCCCCACCTCTCCCCCTACCCCTTTAGTTCAGTTTTTATTGTGTTAAATATTGTCTCCAGTGAAGACAGTAGTGTTCCTACGGAAGGACTCATTACGCTGTGAATCCCATACTGAATAAAGTCTTCCTTTCAATGAGACAGAAGGATACCAAACGGAAGGGGTGGGGAAAGAGAACTTTAACCAATATTTGCAACAAAAAGATTGCCTTCTTTCAATGTTATTAGAAAGTAAAAAAAAAAAAAAAAAAAAACACCCAGTAATCTAAGGACCCAATCCTGCAAGTATCTCGGCATCCTAATTGACTTCAATGAGACTCAGAGCCACTTTGCACCTTATTTGCTCTCAGATATTTGCACGCTTCAATGGACACTGAGCAAAACTATCTGAGGTAAGAATCAGATCCTAAGAAACAAAGTTATTAGTAACAAACGGGAAAGCTATGATGGGGGAGAAGATGACAGAGAGAGAGAGAGAAAACACGCTTGTCTATAAAAGTCTAGTACACTAACCTGATGGCATACTCTAAACTAAAGGGATTATCCTCCACAGAGTCTCATTTTTGGCCCACCAGTTTTCATAAACAAGATTCAGGAGCTTTTTTGAGATTTTGCATCTGCTCTAATAAGGCACATGTATCAAAGGGGGAAATATACAAGGAGTTATTGTCTCTAAAGATTTTTTTAAAAAACAAGACAGAATCTTAACCAGAAAACCACTCACTAATTATGACCTTAAGAGAACTCCAATTACATCTAAGTAAATTCCCTTTCTCCAAAGGTAAGTATCCCCAAAGGCTCCTCTTAGAGACTGAAGTGTTCCCCCTGTAGGAGTACACACAATCTGTGTTGTATACCTTATGCGTTATGCAGCTAAAGAAAGCAAAAATGTCTTTGGAATTCTTTTTAAGGAAACATTTAAAAACGTTATCAAACCAATAGCAAAGAGATTAGTATGTCCTTATACTGACTAGTAATCAAGCACAATACAGGACAAAACAAGATAAGGAAAAGTGCCTAGATCGCTAGAGAGCCAGGCATGCAAGCTGGGGACAACCAAAGTGTAAGCACTGCAGACTCTTCATCAGGGAACACTGCGCTAAAACGGTTTTGTAGCAGAATGCTATGAACCTCAAATGCCTGTCTTGCAAATCTAAAAACATGACCTAAGGTTGGCCATATTCTCTACCACAACGTTGGATCAATGAGCTGTAATTCAACCTTCAAGTAATAATTCTCCTAAGAAGTAATAACGAGAAATGCATAGACAGTATGGTTATTTTGGAGAAAAGTTGGCACATACTGGTGTGGTATGATCCATGCAACTCATGATATACTCTAATAGATTTTTCTGTGTCAAGCAAAAGGCAAATTAGGTCCAGTTTGTGTAGCAAAGATTCAGAGAATGTGGACTATAAAATGGAAAAACATTTAAAGGCTTAGAATCAATTTTTGTTGATGAAAGGGTTATACCAGTAACAACCCTGAAAAGAACTCAGAACAAGGCTGTATTATTGGCTCTCTTTGTACAAACTAATCAACCCAGTAACACAGCAGCAGTAATATCATGTGGGAGACCTGACTTGGGAACCAAATCAGCATAGTTCAGCCCATAGGCAGTTCCACAGAGGAAACATGCCTCTCACTAACACATCACAGAATATGTAAACCAGCTTTGGAACTGTCTATTTTGGAAAGTTATTGATCCTCTACATTGCTGCATGAGGCCACTAGTGTGTGTGGCGGTATGCTATCAGAGGCAGCAAGGGAAGGAGTAACCCAGAACCACATTACTAAGCCGTATCACCAAAGCTGGTGTCACCTTATGTTAGAGAGATGAATGGAGCTGAAGGCCGACTGTATCTGGCTTATAAATCACACTTCCTGTGTGAGTAGAAAAACTCATTTCATTATTTTCTGATGCAGAAAGCTATGGGAACTCATAGTGTCCTGCAAAAAGTCACATACCAATTTTGGTACACGCTGAAAGTCCCCAACAGCTCAGTTAGGATGGGCATCCAGCATAGTATTACCTAAAAATATACTTTATTTGTATTATTAATTTATTATTTGTTAAGCACAAATGAAGCGCTACTTCATTGAGGGCAGCTGGCCAGAAACCACTCAAATGTGAACCATTAGTATGAACCTTGCTGTGATGTCACAGCGTCCATCAAAGAGTACCGCAGCATGGAGCCAGTTCACAGGAAGTAAGAGATCAATACCTTGCTTCCACCCCTAGATTTTTATTTTATGCTCTTTGTGGCCCATGCTGACATCCCAGAAGGATCCAACACACTGGTGGTTTTTCTTCGCTCTGTTGCCTCTCCTGGAATAAATCTTGATAATATAGTTAGAATCCTTTTAAGTAAAATAATTTTTACTATAGTAATGTGATCCAAGCATATCTGGAAAAATTTTATTGGCCAGCAGCCAGGGCAAGTATACACGAGGATCAGACAACTGAAATTCAGTTACTTACTGTTCACTGAACAGGCTGCCAACCTGAACTTAAAAATCCTGAAGGCACTGACTGTACTGCCCTCCCACCTCAGTTTCCTTGCATATCCTATTGAATAGCAGAAAAAAAAAAAAAGGGATGATTTGCTTGGTTGGTTGGTTACTTTCTTTGCTAAATTATTTTTCTTGGTAAGTTTCACTTTGGGAGGAATGCACATAGCTATGCATATGCTCTCATGAAAATGTGGTAAAAGGAACTGTTGCCATCCAGTGAGGAGAGAAAACAACTTTTAACTTGAACTTCTGATAGGGCACTCCAATCAGTCAACTTCCCCAATATTTTCTAACTGCCAGTCAAATCAGATCAGGAAATGGTCCTTTGAAAGGGAGAAACGTATGTACATACACATCTTAATTTTAAGAACTAACTTTGTTTACAGAAAAACCCTGGGATGTTTTCCTTGTTGGACAATAAAGTTTGAGATCCAAAAACTGTTCTCAGATAAATCAGCTTGATCTCCTCCCCCCATATTGGATCTAGAAACATCTATCTTCATTTTTATTAAATGATTTTGATGTGGTTACTCTTAGGTACAACTCAGCAGCACCCATATGAAAACATGACATTACGTTAATTTAAGAAACAATTGGGGACTTATTTTTCTGGGGAAAAATAATGATCATTACTTTATGTTAGACATTAAAAGTCTTCACTGGTGTGTAAGTGTTAAAACCTTCAAAATACATAGACATAAAACAAACAAATCAACTTCTCTTGAAAATTTTTATGGCATCCCTATAAATTGCATCTAAAAGGGTTTGTTCATAAAAAGTTTTATTTTTACTCTAGAATAATTTTTTAAAAGAAACCAACAAAAATACTTCAATATTTTCTACCTACTGTACAATCTCTAACATCCAAAAATTGAATCGGTGGCTTTTTTTCAGATTGAGGAAGAGGAATAATTATCTTTAAACTGCTGTGACAGAAAAACATTGAGAAAGACCGTGAGAGCATGACAGAAGCAATAGCAAGTTACTAAAAATCTTTTGAGAAGGTGGATGATTGTGAATCTTTGTTATCAAAAGACTCTGCAAGGTGACCTATGTGGGTATCACGGTGGAAGGGAAGGTTATGAGCATAATGGGCTCTAAAAGCAGGTCAGTAGAATTTCATGGGGAGAACGGAGAATGAAAAAGGCAAAGACCAAACTGCAATATGACTCTTCTGAATCTTCAGTGAAGTCTCATCAAGCTCTACTGATAAAAGGTAAAAAGCAATCTAATGAGAGAATCACAGAAAGTGCTGACTTTGAAGACTTAACAGAGCTCAATAAGAATTTTGGTCTAAACAATAGGACTTTGATTTGTTGCTCTGTGACACCACCACATCATATTGAATCAAAAGCATGTCTTTCAGTTTCCTCCTGCCGAGAGTAAGAAAACCAGTGCCAAAGGAGCTGACATGGAAGAGCCCATTCTAGTAGGAAAGGGCAAATCTACAAAAAAAAAACAAAAAAAAAACCAACCCCAAACACAGCTTCCACTGTCCTATGGATGTTGAGCCTTTTGATTTAAAAAAAAAAAATCTTTTTGATGGTCTTAATATAAGGAT